TTCACTTAACAAATGGAAAAAAACACACAAAGAGAAAAGAAGGACCACACAAAGGATAATACAAGGAACACCCAAGGACCACATAAGGTATATTGGGGCCAGCACAGAATAAAAAAATATATGAAAGAACAAAAAAATTTCCAGCAACACACCACACTAGGAACATGCAAGGACCACACAATGATCACACCAGAACCAGCAGAGTCAAAAAGTATACAAAAAACAAAAACAAAATCCTAACAACAGTTCAATGCACATGCCAAAATCAAGAAAATCGAGTAACAATGGGTCCACTTACATATGGGTTGACAACCTCCAGATTCTCTAAGCACCACCATCTTCGCACCTTCTAGCCTTAAAGTCTAACGCCAACGAATGATTTCTTCTCCAATTTCTCCCAAAATCGAAGGAACCCTCAGATGTTGACTTACAAACTGAGAAACCCTTATTCGAACAGCTTAAAGGTTAAAACGAAGTGGGGCCCACTATTCGTAACGGACCGTCAAAAAATTTGACGGATGGGGTAAATTGAGACGGTTATTTATACGTTGGGGGGTACTTTGAGACGTTTTCCACCACAGGTGGTAATCTGAGAAAAACTTAAAAGCACAGGGGGCATGTACATAATTAAGCCTTCCTAAATATTATAGTACCTCAGAGCCATTTATACTTAGAGTTTTGCTTAGTAATTAAACCAGCTCTTCTTAACTAACAGAGAGATACACATGACTATTACAACAACTAATACAAACTAACACCCATGATAAACGCAATTGTCTTGACACCTCAGCACCCTTGCTATTAGCCAAACAAGTCCCTCTGAGTTTCTTTATGAACCTTTTCTAGCCCAATGAAATACATGGATTGGAACTTGGAGGTGAATTCCAGGCTAAAAACTTTAAATTTAACTTTTAACCTATTGGGTTGGAGATGGCCTTCTTAGGCTAATAAGCCAATGATCCTTTTTAAGATCTCTAATTTGGGAAGTGGGAGTTTCTGTATGGATCGATTTTGTATTTTGGGCTGTGGTGTTTGGTGCCATTTTGTTTTTCTTTGGGCTTAGTTTTCCCTGATTTGGGCTGTTTCTGATTTTTATATGTGTAGTGGATTAGCTAGATGTTCAACAAAATTACCTAATAAATATTTATTATAACTGAGTGTATATTTCCAGAAGTTGTTCAGAATAAATCAATAAAGTAATCAGTTTGCCTAAACCCGTCTTTGTTAAGGTTAGTGAACCACTTCCATGGCTATTTTGGTGCTCCTTATAGGATCCAACAAAAGGCCTTATACAGGACATATTTCGTTCATATTATAATAATTATTTATTATGAAAATTGTTATTGACACTATAAAAAAGACAACTTGTACTCATTCCCTATGTGTTTACAAAGAAAAAGGAGGAGTGTGCGATAACTTTTTCGAGTGTCAATAACAGCTCTCTTTATTACTTGTTTGGATTTAAGATTTCTTAATTATTATAGATGATAAAATACGACAACTATCTTCTTACAATGAAGTAGAGATAATACTGCCACTATATCAAATATGTATCATCATCGTGTGAGTTAAATATGCGAGCTCATCCAATTAAAGTGGAGACGAATACCGTTATATCAAAGATTAGTTGATGAATGAAGCTCTATGTTAGCATAGTTGTAAGTTGTAACCTAATCAAATGTAAAAAAAGCATTTTATATTTCTATATACTGAATCCAATTTATAAGGAAACATTTATATGCTACAATATAATTAGAGGCAGAACCAGGATTTTAGTTTACTGGGGCCACCTTCCAGTTATGTTCATATTACAAACCTCAAGCATATACTAGAAGATTTAATGTAGGTTATAAAAACAAGTATCAATATATAATATATTTAGGTATTATCAATGGATAAGATCGAAAACCAGTCCTTGACTCCTTTCTCACACCCCCATGATTAATTATCAGGATCGAAGACAGCAACTATTCCCTTAACCAAGTCCTTTAACTTGCATGCGTACACGGAGAACTGGAAAAAAGCAGTTAAGACTTGGACCCTCCCATCTTCCAAAATACTTTTGGGGACCAGTGATCCATGTTGGAGGAGCTATTCACCAGCTCCAAAGTTTAAATAAATACCACTAATCTTAATTTTTTTTAAAATTTGTTCTTAAATTGGTGTATGTCCAAATACAAAAGCATAAACAAACTTTGGAGAAATACTTCGCTTTTCATTTGGTAGTAGAAGTTGTTTTTCATTGCATGCAAATAACAGTTTGACATATGTGTGTCAAACTTGTTCTTTTTTGAAGAGATTTGCAATTACAATCACATGCAGTGACGAACCCATATAGGCATAAGAAGGTGCACCTTCCCTCACCGAAAAAAACTTTGAAGGTGCTAGAAGATGCCCCTCTATTGATACCCACCAACTGTTTATGAAAATGCCTCAAAGAGGTTGAGTTCTTTTCTTTTGTGCTCGCCTATATTTTTTATAAAAAAAATTTAGTCCAAACGACAGTGTTTTGGTCCAAACAAAAAACAAAAAAAGATAAAAACAAAAAGAGGAAACCTAATACAAAGGAGCCTTGCCTTACCGTCCAATCCAAGGCTTGCATTGTGTTGAAACAAAGCATAGCATAGCACGACTTTGCGTTGAAGAAAGAAGCCCAACCCAAGCCTTGCTTTGATATTGATGGGAGCTTCTACAATGAGGAGTTAAAGTGAGGAGGTTATTTGAGGAGACCGATCCGACCGTCAAAACATTTAAAATATTTAAGTCCCATGATTTCTTTACATTTGTTGATGGTGAGATTTGACCTCCTCAAATAACCTCCTCACTTTAAGCTCTCATTTTAGCCTTTCCGGATATTGATAACTATAATTGTAACACCCCGACCCCAAATTTATCCCATGTTTAATTAATTTAAGTGGAATTGAGAAATTACCCGTGGGATAAGGGTATTTTGGTCATTTTCTTACCCGGAAGGAATTTGGGAATTCCGGTTGTACCGTTGCGTAGAGCACGGTGAGATGAGTCCGTAGACACGTAGTGGGCTCGAATCGGAGTTGTAACGAGAGAGATATGATCAAATG